AGTAAGGACTTTTGAAAAGTGACAAGTTTAAACATATCAGTTTTAAAGACATTTTCATTTTGAACAATAGATTAAGAAACAGTTTCATTTAAAGTTAAGAAAAATCAAAGTCACCTACATAAGCCTTTGCTGGTCCAAGTGCTCGCACGCTCAGAAAGTTTTGGAAAAAAGTGCTTGACAAAATCTTCAAATGTTACTGTTGCCAGAGCATTTATACTTGCAGCCACAGTGCTATAAAAGTAAGCATATACAATGTCAGAATGATAAATTAGTCCTTAAAATGTGACTTGTCCTGGGACAAGTAATACTAAATTATTTCCACCCATCTACCAAATAGCCTGTTATGGGATAGTATTGCAAAAGAAGTAGAAAGTAAAAGAAGAAATAAATATGAGGTAAATTAAATAGGAGAAAGAGACCCTGTTCTATATTACTAATACTGCCACCATCGCTCTGTATTCTAAAATAGCTGAATTTTCTGTTCCACAAATAATAATTATTAGTTAAATGTTGCTAACAGTCGAGATTCCCTTGTGTTTACATAATATACTAAACTTGGATTAAAGCATAATTTCTTGTTCCTATAAAGGCTAAACAAAATAGGTCATGTGGTTGCTTGGTTCATAACTTGCTAAAACAGTGGGATTCCTACAACATCCATTCCATTTTAGCTTAGATTAGTATGTTGTTATGTGAGTTTAGACTTTGCCCAATAGAGACAGATTCGAAATTGTGAAACTGGGAAAAAGTACACTTTATTTCAGGGCAAGAATTGATGTAACTGCATTCACTGAACAGAGATTATTTATTAGCTTCAGACATTATATAACACTATGGTTTGCTTTAATCCTAACTACTTCTTCATATAACTCCCTAAGTTAAAATCAAATAAGCATTCTTGATTAATACAGTGAATGAATACACTTCAACCATGTGAATTCTTATGTTGCAGCTTTTCCCATTATCTTATTTTTGAACCAAGGTTTACTAACACCATCATAGCTAAGGCCCATGATATTTTTACTGTTTCTTTTATTTTTTATGAATTTTGTATTAGTTTATACAAAGAAAAAAATAAAATAATGGGAAAATAAACGAGGGAAGGTAGAAAAGGAAAAAACAAAAAAAGGGGGAAAAGCATGGATTTCCAATTCTTTTTAGTACAATAGAGTAAGATTATAACATACAGCCTCAACTTTTACTCTTACACAATAATATATACTAGTCATTTCTACAACAATAAATCTATCTAAGCAAAACCCAAAATTTCATTTTTTTTCCATCTCAAAGCACAAAGTCCAGAAGCAGTTTCCAAGTAGAAAAAAAAATATTCTTTTCTTTAATTAAAGCAGACAATTTAGCCATTGACTAACTCCAATCATTCATTATGGGAATTAAAGTATCTGTCCATTTTTGTGCATTCTTGTTGCTGGACATTTTTACTATTTCTGCATCTCACATTGCTTCTCTCCTCCAGGGTGGAGCTGGCATATATGACTTCTCTTGCATTAAAAATGGAAAGATTTTATATTAGCACAGATATCCCTTTTTATAAACAGAAGTTCTGCTTCCATTACTTGAATAATTAAACTCTTGATACAGTATCTGATTAGGTGATCATGCAATGACATAAAATCTACAGCATCAAAAAGAGTTTCCCTACATGAAGATGTTATAGTGGGTGGGTTCTTTATTTGGTTCTTTGTTGTTCTTGTTTGTTTATTTTGTGCCTTGAATCAGTCTTGATTCCTGGCAAGTGCCCTACAGTTTTTTTGGCAACATTTTTGGAAGTGATTGCCATTGTTTCCTTCCTTTCTTAATAAAGTTTATTAAGATCTCTGGATCTCTGATATCTGAAGGATATTTAAATAGTTACCTTCAAGGAACAATGGAAATATTAGGAAAGTCAACATATTATTACAGTTTATCTATTTCAGTTTTCCTTCTAGCCTCTTCCAAAAATCTTTCTCTTTTGCCTCCCACTCAAATCCTACAAATGTAGCATCTTACAAGGAACAAGGAATCAGTGGAATAACTCATTTTCCTATTATAAAAGGCACATTATCCTATTCTTAGGAATAAGCAGCCTCTGTCTCAAATCCCCAGTACTCATCCTGGCCTTCTGATTTTCAAGGATTTCTTAAAGAATAATTAATGCTAATACTCTAACATATGCTACTAATGTGCCATATACTAGATAATATATGTGCTGCACACAGGTAATCTAACAGCTTATAGATGATATCATGCTTTTGAAAATAAATTTAGAAAAAAAAGTTATATGTCTGTCAGGTTCACTGCAGGTTTTGCAGTCAGAAAAACAAAGAGTGGACAGCATTACATTGTAGAAAGAGGAAAGAAGGGACACAAGGCAGCCTTTTCAAGAACTTCATTCCCTCTAGTGCTTAGGGCCTCTCAAAGGCTTGGTTTGACACACCTCCATTAAATCCAGCATAGGACAGACCTTAGTGTTCCACTGAATGCACACGCAACAAATAGGCCTGAAAGTCCAGGGATTGATGAAAATATTATCATCACAAAATATGGCATTAGCTGGAGGGGAAAAAAGGAGAGAAGAAAGATGAAGAACACTCTTGCTATACAGAACAACTTTAATGCACACATAGACTGAGCTCATGAACTTCACAAATCTCAGGGTGAAGAACATCATCATGTGCTTTACTCTCCAATGAAGTAAATGAAGCTAAGGAGCAGAGGGCCTTTGTTCCTGTAACATGGTCAGTGTAGGGTCTAGATTTCAAGAAGGGAAGGACAGCCTGCATGGTGGCTGATTCATCAAGAAGAAATATGACATATAAATTGATAATTCATCTGAGATGAATACCTAAATGCTGAAAGTTCAATCTTCACCACTTCCTGGTCACGGAGATCCCATCCTGAGATAATTGCTATTATCTATTGTCTATAGATAAACTGTCTTCTTTCTCTTTATTTTGCCCATCCTTTGCAGTAGATTCAGCAGAAATGCTAAGACATCAACCAGAAGAGGTACAACCAGGATTTGGGGTTCATCACACCCTTCCCTATTTTTTATTTTTTTTATTTTAAAAAATTATGCTCGAACAAAACCCTCATCTGAGTAAGGTTTCAAGCCACAAAGAATATGATTGTCCATTGACTTTCAGTTGTTCTTCTGCACTAAACTAAATGGAATGATTATCTAACTCATATAGATTTTTTAAGCTCTTCTGATGTTAGATCAGAGGTTTTAGACTCTGCCCACAGCCTGGAGTTTGACTCTGATAGGGCTCAAGGTTGATTTAGCCTTCCATCCTTCCAAGTAAAATGAGGACCCAGATTGTTGGGCACAATGTGTAAACTGCACAGAGAGTGCTCTAAAGTACTATGGGCTGGTATATAAGTCTAAGTGTGATTGCTATTTAGTACCTATTAATGTACTTGCTTTCTGGTTCTATCTATTTATTTATTAATCATTCTGGTATTTATATGACTGCCCATCTCACAAGAAATAACTATGCAGTATATAAAAATATATGGACTAATTAGCTTGCAGTTATTGTTCCTTTCATTCCCGATAAGCACATTTTTATTGCTACACATGGAACTTAGAACTCAACAGGAGCGTTTGCAAATGTCCCCCACATAGATTCCCAGAAGGCTCCATTTGCACATCATTAAAAATGTTACAGTGCAAGAAATACTCATATACTCCTGTACCACTGAGTTCAGTACAGCTGCATTTTAAAAAGAATTCAGATCACAGAACAATTCTCTGCTTACAATTTTACCTGATCTGGTGCTGAAATGAACTCTGCAGTCCAAGGATCACAGCTCATAAAAAAAGAATACATCACCAATCCACAGACGACTGCACATGCCAGGATGACCCATAATCCCAGCAAATTAAAGTAAAGCGCACTAAGAAGAAGAAAAAAGATCAGTTAGATATCATTCAATAAAGGGTACGTTTTTGTACACTGCTTTTTCTTATTTTTAAAAAGTGTCCTGAAAATTCTTAAATGCTCTCTTATTTTTTTCTTTGATTTACGGAGGATTGAAAGTAAGATAGTCACATTAGTTTTTGACAAGACATTTCTTACCACAGTTAAAAGAAGCAAAGATTTAAAACTTTATCTGTGTGCCGCAATGAAAGAAGTCCACAATCTGCCCCTTAGTACATATTCCCAGTAGTTTGAGATGTGTTCCTGCTCTTTTCATAATATATTTACTTCCTGCGACTTTGGAAGTGTACTACTAAAGTTCCCTGTCCCTGACACACATGAATGTGATTTTTGAGGACAACAACTTGGAAGGTTATAATCCTTCACTCTGTTGTGAATTTAGATGGAAGTAGAATTTCAAATTTAATATTTGAAATCCTATCTTTGTGGCTAGATACTCTGTTAAGATTGTACTAATAAATGATGCCAGTCCCAAAGGATCCTGGGCAACATAAAACAGCAATAAAAAGAGATAATAAATAAACAAACAAAAATCAACAATCAATGCTGATAAGAAAGTCAGTTTGCTCTACTAGTCTATCATGGTAGAAAACAGAAGACCATGAATTCAAGTCCCACCTTGACCATGCAGCCAGCTGGATGACTTTGGGCCAATCCCTTTCTCACCACCCGACCCACCTCACAGGGTTGTTGTGAGGAAAATAGGAGAAGAAAAGTGTGATGAATATAACTTATTTGTAAAAATAATAAAGGTGGGATACAAATATATAATAAAACCAAAAAAAATCACACAAAGCAATGATGAATCCCCAATAAGCCCAATAAAGGCAAGCACAGTCAAAAGTGGATTGAAATAATAGTTAAAATCATGGCAGAAGTCAGGAGAGAGAGTGTCAATATCCAGCTCAAGAATCCAAATAAAAATCCAGGTCCATTCTGTTTCCAAAAAACTGAGGAGATTGGGCACCCCTCTGGTTAAACAATTGTATGCTACTTCCAAAGCTTTGCATACCACAACCCATGTGTCCTTTATATTGTCCATCTCCGAAGTGGTAGACCAACATATGTTCAAGCCACCCTCTTTCCATCTTTCTCATGCAACATAGACCTCACAAGAGTAGGCAGTTTTCTGCTGGACCTCTCTCAATGGCCAGTTAAAGCATCCCAAACATTATGCATGAGCTAGTTCATTTTAAAAAATGAATAGATTTTTTTTTAAATTAAAGATAATTATATTCTAATCTAGAATTACATTAACTTTGATGGCTACTTACAATTTGGCATGCTTTTCTGTTTTACATGAAATGCACCTCTGTATTGTGGACTGATTGACCCCGTAAATTCCTAGCCAAGTAAATGTTCCTCCTACTACGGTTGTCCAAAATGTGTGTCTTCTCAGGGGGTCAAAATCAAAGCTACATGAATAAGACATGAAAATTATTAATTGGCCATTGTTTAAATAGTAGACTAGTTTAAAACTAATTTGCTTCTACTGGAATTAAGAAACTTCAAGGCAGGAATCCAGTCAACAGATCTAAATAAATTCACAGATTTAGAAGGAATAGCAATAGCAATAGCACTTAGACTTATATAATGCCCTATAGTGCTTTACAGCCCTCTCTGAGCGGTTTACAATGGCAGCATATTGCCCCCAACAATCTGGGTCCTCATTTTTACTGACCTCGGAAGGATGGAATCTGAGTCAACCTCAAGATCAGTCAGAATTGAATTCCTGGCTGTGGGCAGAGTTAGCCGGCAATACTGCATTCTAACCACTGTGCCCCCAGGGTGGAACTGACTTCCCCAGGTGGGGAACTGTGCCCCACACATGAACTGACTATTTGGTGTCTCTTATAATTTGAAATCCAGGTTAAAAAAAATAAGCATTCAAGTTGCATAACTAAAGAGACTTATATTGAAATCAGGACTCCGTCTTGAAATAGGCAACATGTATAATTCTTGTTCAAACTGATCTGATTAAAAAAAAAATCTAAATACTAACCAGACCCAATCCCATTTACAACTACACAAAGTTGGCCAAAAAAACCCGCTTCATTCTGTGCTGCTCTGCCATTTCATGTTAATGTAAACCTGATTGTGTTTTTCCTCCCTTATCACTGTTCTTGCTCTTTTTTATTATTATAAAAGCAACTTTTATAGAAATATATCTTGCAGTTCTTACTGAACTACCATGCATTCTGTAGAGCAGGGGTAGCTTAGCTGGCTCAGGAATTCTGGGAGTTGAAGTCCACGAGTCATAAAAGAGCCAAGGTTGACTACCCCTGCTGTAGAGCAATTCTCTGTTTTTTGAACTGCCAGTTCTTTCTCATTGGCCTTCCACTTTATGGCTTTTACCACTTTGCTTTATTTCCCCTGTATACCATATTTGTTCTAAGTGATAACCAATTTGATTTTCTTCTGGCCATCAAATCACTCTTTGGACTCTTTTGAAACTGTCTTAAATTGCTTTATGAACATATTTTGTCCCTTCGGTCCCAGGCTTGCCTGAGATCATTCACATTTAACCTATCAGATTTCAAGAAATTTTATTTTAACACCTTTGGGGGTGGGGTGGGGTGGGGTGGGGTGGAGGAATGAGACATGATTACCTATCATTACAAACACCAAACCAGATTGTGAGAAGCCATTCCACTTACTCAAAGACATTGAGACGTGATCCATTTTGAGCATTTCCCCAAACATTTCTAAGACCCCCACTCTTAAGAGTTCCTTGAACTAAAACTGTCAGGAACCCAATCAGCATAACAACCAGTTGAAAGGCATCTGTCCAGACAACAGCTTTCAATCCTCCCTAAATCAAAGAAAAAAATAATATTGTATTTATCTTGATTTTAGGTGCACCAATTCAGTCTAAAGCTCTACTTTCAACCAAGTTATATTTGGTTAAATATTGATTAGCTCGGGGTTTTTTCTACCCACAACCAATTATTAGTGTATCATGGAACTGAGCTCATGTAAAAGATACTTTCTCTGCAGTGATTGTTCACAATAATCACATGCTATAGAATGGACTCCGAGTAGCCCAAAAGTATGGGCCACTCAGTCTACCTATGAATTTCCACTCATTGGTAAGCCTTCCCTTCAATCCTATATAAACTCTTCAGCCATTTACCATATATATGTACAGGCTTAAAAATGAATAAAGGACAAGATAGCTGATACATGCTTATTTTAAGTGTGAACACAACTCCCAAATATTTATTAGGGATCACTTATCTCCAATAGTTTCTGCCCATGTATATTTGAGAATATAAAATGTATGATTATTGTAGAAAAAAAATACTGAGGTTTCCTAGTTCGTCTTAATATTTGTGTTCAACTATAAGACCCCCATTAGAACATAAATGCCAGTTATTTAACCATTCCTCTAAAAACGTTTATAGTTGAATTATAACAGAAACATACCAGTGTACAGTAGAAGGTGCAAACAATTCCTGTTGCAAATACTGAGCCCCAAAGATTAAATCCAGTCACTGAAAAGCCAAAGGAAGTGTAATTAGATATACTGCAGGTTACTTTTTTAAAAAAATAACTATAGTTTATTTTTAAATGTACAAGAGTATTAGAGTAACAACTCTTATTTAATTTGTTACCATCATTTTCTTTTATGTGCTGCAGAACTAAAATTCATTTCCATCTTTTATAGTCTTCTGTTTTAGTTTGCAAAGATGATAAATTCAGTTCATCAAATACATTGGCCAAATCTCAATGGAAAGCAAAAGAATTCCTATCAGTCTAGCAAAAACACCAGAAACACCAAATCAATAGGATGAGAAATCTCAGCTTTATCCTTACGTATTCACATTACGTAAGGCATTAAAGCAATGGGCTGGAAGGACAGAAAGTGTCAAAGTACAGAAGAAAGTCTTAATCCATTATCTTAAACTGGGCCCTTTGCCCAGAACTTGAGAAAACTATTTAGAATCTATCTTCTCTAGTTACTTTTTAGCAAAAGGGGAAAAAAATAACATATATCAGAAGGAAAAGTGAGGGGGAAAGGAGCTTTCAGATAGGTAGATAACAGAAAACAAATTCCCCTTTTCTCCTGTCCTTTTCAAGTCAACAACAAAGCACTTACCTTGATTGAGAGCCAAAGCTGGAGCATAAACTACCACTCCTGTGTAAAGAGTCTATGAAGAGTAGAAAAAGTATTTCAGATAAGAAAAATATTCATAGGGAGCAAATTCAAAATTCAAAAGACAGCTAAAATTAACAAACGAAGGAGATTCAGATGGGACCATATGCCAAGGTTTTGACTGGAAAGTGGCACTGCCACACAGAGGCAGGCTCACACACAAATGGGAAGATACATTTATGAATGATATTCATGCATTCTTCTACACTGTCTGCCCCATTTTCCCCCAGTTTAACATGCCTTTACCATCTGTGTGACTATGTCCAGTCTTTTAGGTTGAAAATGATAGCAGCAGTTCTAACTGCTACTAGCTGGGAAAATAGCCATGCTTCTTGTCCTAAATAATATATATTGATTTCTAAATTATAGCATAGATAGTGTATGTGGTTAGAATTTCAGACTAGGCTTCAAAGAAGAACTCAAAATGCATAAAATTCATAGAATACTCTTGGGTCCCTCAGGGTCTATTTTAATCCATGTGATTGTTTGAAAAATTATGCAGAAAAAGGACCTTGTACATGAGCCTAACTTCTAGAAGTGCTGGATCTCAAATTCCCCCAGTTCCCATCTCAACTTGGCCTTCCCATAATTTCATTAACTGATGATGCCAGAAATATTGGAATTTACAAAGGTACATGGTAATTAATTAAATGTATTTAATTGTATGTATACATAAATAAATGTACTTATACTGTTTGAATATGTACTGTTGTTTATTCAGAAGATTGCCCAACTGTTTTAACTGAGATTTATTCTGTGGTAAGGCTGTGATCCTTAAAGTTAGAGGTTTGGGAAACCCTTGAAACTTTTCTCAACATATTACAATAGTCTTATTTTAGTTGGAGGTAATTTTGAATATTTATGTGAATGATCCCAATCTGAAGCAAATCCAAAAAATAAACCAATCCGTCTAAAATCAATACCTGGGAAGATATCGGAAAAGATAATAAAAAACAGATCTGTGAACATCTAGAAACAAATAAAGTTACAATTTGAAGCCAGCATGTGTTTGTTAAAAACAGATCATGCCAAACCAATATTAATTCATTCCTTAACAAAGTGACTAAATTAGAAGACAAGTGAAATGCTGTGAACATAGTATACTTAGATTTCAGTAAGGCATTCAACACAGTAGACCACAATCTACTTCTTGGTAAATCAGAAAAATGTGGAATAGACAGCTTCACCACCAGATGGATTTGTAGCTAGCTGACAAACTACCCAATGAGTAGTTCTTAATGGTACTATATCTATATGGAGGGAAGTAAGCAGTGGGGTACCACAAGGTTCCGTCTTAGGTCCAGTACTCTTCAATATCGTAATAAATGATTTAGATGAGGGAATAGAAGGGGAACTCATCAAATTTGCAGTTGACACTAAGCTAGGTCCTTATCGGTTGTGAGGTCTTCTGTTCGAGTCTTAGGTTTTTATAAAACTGTTTGAATTTGTAACCCGGGGTAGGTTGTTTTACATTAAATTACACCTCTTTTCGTCCTTTTTGGTTTCGATGTTCATGGCTAATCCCACTTTAGACTGAGTTTTTGTCATTGACACTCCACTTGGAACCTCAGGGTCACCGACTAGATTTTTTGCAGTTCTACAGAATGTCCTAAAATTGCAAATTGAACCATTTCTAAAAGGTGCCAATTTACTGCTGATGCTTTTTTAGGTATGTGGAATTAATTTATAGAGTGGAATTATCTTGGGAATAAACATTTCCCTAAGTAAGCAGATGCATGAAGTTGTCATCAAGAAAAGTCAATTAACTTTATACTGCTTACGAAGCAGTCTCAAACAGCAACAGAGCTCTCAACTTTCCATTGGCTATTTGTGATCCACACTACACTGTTTCCTGAAAATGATTCTTGTATAGTTGCCTAAGATGTTGGAGGAAGGATTTTCTCTTTATCATCTGCAAAGTACAAATAAAGATGTTCCTAACTGTTCTGAAACAAATCACACTTAAAGAAATATTTACCTATCATACCTCTGGCATTCCGTTGAAAGAAGACTGACTTATTATCAGACACATGAAAACAGAAATCTCACACAGTTATTAATTATTCCACAGTCTCAACAAAGTTCTATGGGTGGTTTCACAAGTTGTGTGAATGCATCAAATTAAAAATGGTAGGGATTATCCCTGAAATGGCCAACCAGATCACACTGCATTTCTGGGGCATGGGAGGTTTTGGTACAAACTAGTTCAAGGCAAACAATTCATGTCTCCTAAATCCCCGACATGGAACTGAGCTATGAGCTACTCTATACTGTACAGAGCACATTATTTAGAGTACACTTAAGTGCAACATAAATGCTTGCTAAAATGGCAACTGGGATTAAACTGGAAAAATGTATCTTCTTTTAGAGTCCCACAATCTGTGTTGGAAACCTGTTCTACAACTGAAGCCGAAGTTTCAGAAGGAAATCTCACACTTGAATACAGAATGTCATGGCAACCCGTAGACTAGGAAGAGTCTAGATTTATCATAAATGTTAGTTATCGGGGTGATGAAAATCCAGAAAGATTATGTAGAATTTGATGCTATGAGAAATCGAGATGATTGAAAGTCTTGTTTGTGCAGGATCCTATCGCTCTTTTATTTCAGAAACACTATATAAACATCCTCTATCATATTCACTGTGTTGTAGATGGGGCTGATTTTGAACAAAAGCTCTATCCATTCCACGGACTATTGCCAAGATATTTAGAAATCACATTTATCATGCAAATATATGGAGAAAATGGCTTACCGTCTGCAGTATGTAAATCAGTGTTGCTACCATGCGAACTTGCTTGTTAAACCTTAACTCCAGGTACTAGGGGGAAAGGATGGTTACAGTAAATACAAATATTTGTTGCTTTATCATCCCATTTTATTCAAGAAATAGTTCTCGTAATGATTGTGAAACCGGTCTTCCCATAGGCAATACCAGCAACTGGAAGTTCAATTAATACCGGTAGTCCTTGATTGAACCCAAAATTCCTGTTGCTCCTGTGAGATAGTTGTTAAATGAATTTCCCCCCCCCCACTTTATGACATTTCTTGTCACGATTATTAATTGAATCACTGCAGTTGTTAGTGACATGGTTGTTAAGTGAATCTGGCTTTCCCATTGACTTTGTGCAGAAGGTATCAAAAGGTGATCATATGACCCAAGGACACTGCAATTATCACAAATATGAGTCAGTTGCCAAGCATCTGAATTTTGATCTAGTGGCCAAGGGAATGCTGCAGTGGTCATAAGTGTGAAAAATGGTTCTAAGTCACTTTTCCCAGTGCCATTGTAACTTTGTGACTTTGAACTAAACGAACTGCTGTAAGTTGAGGACCTCTTGTAATTTGTTCTACATCCATAACTTTATTTAACTTGCAGCAATGGTCAGCAACATTGCACAGCCGGGTTCAAGAGTGGACCACAGGAAGCTCTCCACAAATGTCAAGCATTTATAGGATAAGTTAAATCGTGCTGAGGTCTTCATCTTGCAATATTCAAACTTGGATCTGTGTGGATATCTGCCCAAATCATTGCATGGGTTACAAACGACACCTAGAACCAAAAAGTGTGGTCAACCATTACAGAAACCTGCAGTGTGTTCTATAATTACATTTCAAGAATTTGGAATGTCTTTTCTCGTCATGAAATATTTCATTTCCTTTGGCAAGTAGGACACTATAATTTTACATCTATATATGAGGGTTGAATGGTTTCATTTATGAGATAATTGGATTCTTAGTGGCTTCTAATGGGAGGTTAGTTAAGTAATCTTTTATTAAATATTCCCCTATTAAATCATTAATCAAACAATTAAATTGTGAACGTAACATTAGAAGAAAATCCATTGTCCCAGAACCAGCCTCTTTTGTTATTGAGATGGATACTATGATCTATACAATTACTATTTGCTACAGTTTCTTGAATTTAGTTGTCATACACATTCTTGACAAGTTTAATTTGTTTCTCTGTTTTATTATTCTGACTTTTTATTATGCAAATCATTCAGTTAGTTGGAGTCAGGCATTCTTTGAATCTATGTAATGAATAAAATACACAGAATGAGAAATGGGAAATGAGAAAAGAAAAAAAGGATTTTTTAATATTGATTTGATCTGTATTTTATAAGAGATTCTAAATATGTCTGTCTACCTAAGTCCCCTGGACTCAAGCGCTCTCTCTCTCTCTCTCTCTCTCTCTCACACACACACACACACACACACACACACACACAACCACAAATACTCATACTAAGATGAGACAAGTGTATGACACAGAATCCTTATATTTGATATTTCAGCATGGGATGAGTAGGTTTTTGTCAATATATCATTCTTTACTATTTCAAAATATAGTATTTTTTATTATTTTTGACAATAATCTAACGTTTAAATGAGAATTATCCTCCTATCTTTTGCAATCTACAGATAATTGTTAGGAAATAATACATTTATAGAAGTTGATCACAATGGTCTCTTTCAATATTGTATATAGTAGGTTAGGTGTGTGTTATGTATGTGTTCACTTTGAGAGTAGGCAACTAAATTTCATTTTTGATGTGTGCCGTTGTGCCCACAGTAAAAAAAAATGACAATAAAGGTTATCTTATCTTATCTATCTTAATTAAATAGACTGTCCTTTGGAACCAAAAGCATGCCTACTATTATCTAATACATATACAGATTCATTGTCCTTGCAAATTTTAACACATTTTCTTCCTCTGTATTAATGTAGTCTCCTCTGCATCATGCTGCCTTTTAGATATATTGCGACTGCTCTTCCCAGAATGTCAAGTTTACAGAAGAGGTGATGTCATGTCAAGCATCTCCACAAAGAAATAACAACAAAGATGCTGCCCAAATGATGTAGATGGCCAATTGGAGTCTTGGTCCAGGATCTGGAGCAAGAATCACTTTCTAGAAAAGGGAACTTACCTCATAAGTGCTTGTGATCCCAGATCTGTAGAAAACAGGTAGAAAAAGTTCTGAAGTAAAAATGATGACAAACGTATATGCTATGCCAAACAGAAAGAAAGATGATCCATGGCGATAGACCTCAGCTGGGGTTCCCAGCACAGTGACGGCTGACATGAAACTAGCAGTGAGGGACAGAGCCACTGGTCCACATGTCATCTGCCTGCCACCAACCAAAAAGTCCCCAGAGCTTGCTTTTTTCCGCTCCTTAATGGCAAAAAAGATTCCAATGCCAGAAGAGACGAGAAAAAGGGCAGCAAAGATCAAATAGTCCCAAATTGCAAACATTTCCACAACTGGAGGGATGAACTGGCCCATGGTTCTAATTAGCTGGCTTTTTGTCAGGTGTAGCAATTATTTTGATTGTTTAAAGAATGAACTTCCAAAGGGAGAACAAATTTATAGTGCCATGACTTAGCAATTAGATTTTCCAAAAGACAAATATAATCCAGGATCCAACTGATATTTTAGATTTAAACTTCAGACCTCATTCCAGGGTCATGTTGCAGAGATGGTTAAAAACAAAGTTGTGGATAGCTTTTCTTATAATTTCTAGTCAAGGCTTCTGCCAATGAAGATCGGGGAAAAAAGAAATATCCAAGAGTTCACACCCTTTTTATCTGAGAAACTTTATTAAGGTTAAACATTACTTTAGTATGTTGACTAACTGCATTGGATTGGTCAGCATGTTACACAATGAAAATTTAAGAAAAAAACATGCTGGATCTGACCAAAGGGCTATGACATCCAGTGCTCTATTGCTGCAGCACTTTGCCAAATATGTATGAGAAATATACCAGCCAGATATCTATGCAATCAGCCTTCTCCTATAGATGCTTCTCAACAATCATGATACAAAGTCTCTGATATTGAAATTCATATATAGTTAAGAAAATGAATTGCCAAAATAAAGTCAGTCTGGTTGAGCCAAAAGTTAACAAATTAATAGTCTGTGATAAATTTAGAAACTTTGAAACTGTAGCAATTACTGGGCATGATCACTTATGGAAGATCCAGATAGGCCAGTTGGAATCCTCTGAGAACTTTTTCCATTGACAAAAAACAAACTCAGTAGTTGCTCTCAATGCCGGTAGACAAATAATAATAATAATAGTAATAATAATAGTAATAGTAGTAGTGGTAATAATACTAGTAATACTAGTAATACTAGTAATAATAGTAATAATAGTAATAATAGTAATAATAATAAAGTTGGAAGGAACCTTGGAGGTCATCTAGTCCAACCCCCTGCTCTGGCAGGAAACCTGAATTCATTTCAGACAAATGGCTATCCAGTCTCTTCTTAAAAACTTCCAGTGTTGGAGCATTCACCACTTCTGGAGGCAGGTTGTTCCACTGATTAATTGTTCTAACTGTCAGAAAATTTCTCCTTAGTTCTAGGTTGCTTCTCTCTTTGGTTAGTTTCCATCCGTTGCTTCTTGTCCTGCCTTCAGATGCTTTGGAGAATAGCTTGACTCCCTCTTCTTTGTGGCAAACCCTGAGATATTGGAACACTGCTATCATGTCACCCCTCATCCTTCTTTTCATTAAACTAGACATACCCAATTCCAGCAACCATTCCTTATATGCTTTAGCCTCCAGTCCCCTGATCATCTTTGTTGCGCTTCTCTGTACTCTTTCTAGAGTCTCAACATCTTTTTTACATCGTAGTGACCAAAACTGGATGCAGTATTCCAAGTGTGGCCTTACCAAGGCATTGTAAAGTGGTTTTAACACTTCATGTGATCTTAAGTATAGAACACTATTTCCCTATCTTAGGATCAAAACACACTACATTCAACAATTCATAAGATCCAAAAGGCTATCTGTCTCTCTCTTAATCTTAAGAAAAAATAATTTTGGGGAATAGGATTTAGAATACGGAATTGATAGAAGGGTAATTCTATCCTCATTTATCTGTGCCCAAATATATTCTCTTACACTTCCTCGTCATGCCTTTATTTCCCATGTCTACATCAAAATTTCCCCCAAATTTTCTACACTTCTATTATACTTGTCACCTCATTTAATTTGGCCTTTCAGATTTAACATGTTAAGTTGTATAGTGGTTAGAGTGTTGGATTGGAATTGTAAATATTTGGATCAAGCTTCCACTTGATCAGGCAGCAGTTGGATAAGAGGGTACCTGTAAGTCAGCCACTTTTTCTTTGCCCGATCAATTTATATAGTAGATAGGATTATAGGGTAGGACAGACATGCCAAACACAAGGCCCGGGGGCAGGATGCGGCCCACGAACTAGTTTCATGTGGCCTGCGAAGCCATCCCTGGCGCAGGCCGGCCGGGAGCCGATGTACAATTTTGTTGTGGCCATCTATGCTGAAACGCATTCAGTCTTAGCTCCACAAGACCATCTGGAAACAGCAAGGAAACAGCCCCTGCCATGTCAGCCCCACCCCCCCTGGGTGTATGCTGGGGAGGTGTCACCCTTTGTGAGGAATGAAGAAATGCACCATCGCCTGGAAATGGCCAGCAAATGGCCTCACCTACTTCACATATCTGGCTTGATGGGCTCCAGGGGAGGGTTTTGGCAGGCAGAAGGGCGCTCTCCTCACAGCACCGAGAGGATGAGCTGGGCAGCGTGAATCCCAAAAGAAGCACAAGGCCGCCCAGCCCCCAGCCTGCCCGGTTTTGGCAGGCAACGGGGCGCTCTCCTCGCAGCACCAAGAGCTGAGCTGGGTGGCATGAAACTGATGAGAGGTTTCAGCAGGCAGCAAGGTGCAAAGCTGGCAAGCTTCGCACCACCCAGCTCAACCTCTCGGCGCTGTGAGGAAAGCACCCTGCTGCCTGCCGAAACCGGGCAGGCTGGAAGCTGGGCGGCATCATGCTTCGTTTTGGATTCGCGCCGCCTGGTTCAGCCTCTCAGTGCTGTGAGGAGAGCGCCCCACTGTCTGCCGAGACCAGCAGGCTGGGGGCTAGGCAGCATTGCACTTCTCATCAGATTCACGCCGCCTGGCTCAGCTCTCGGAGCTGTGAGGAGAGCGCCCTGCTGCCTGATGAAACCGGGCAGGCTGGGGGTTGGGCAGCATCGCGCTTCTTTTCAGATTCGATCAGCCTCTCGGCAGCGCTGTGAGGAGAGTGTCTTGCTGCCTGCCGAAACCGGGCAGGCTGGGGGCTGGGCAGCATTGCGCAGGTAACGTTGACTCTCACGCTGCTCATGGCATCCCCTCCTACAGAGCCCACCAAGCCAGATATGTGAAGTAGGTAAGGGCCATGTGCTGGCCACTTCCAGGCGATGGTGCATTTCTTCATTCCTCATGAAGGGTGACACCTCCCCAGCTGTGTTTCTTGCTTGTTTTCTCCCTCCCTCATCTCAAATATTTTCCCACCACTCTGTACTTAGGAAGGAAGAAAGGAAAGAAGGAAAGAAGGAGACGGAGGGTCTGAGGGAAGTCCTGCCTTAGTCCTGCCCTGCTGCCCTTTTACCATCCCCTTGCCCCCTCCTCCTGGCCTATCCTGGGGGTCTCCCATTCTATTGCTAAGGAAGCTTTGGATACAAAGCCGGGTCTACTCCCATGGAGAGGGAATGGGCCTCCCTCTGACTTTGCCCTCATACCCATCATGAGCAACCTGGCTAAGGAGAGGAAGCATAGCAGCAACAGCCTTGAGGAGGAGGTAAGTGCAGCTGGGCACCCCCTTGGGGAAGTGGAGCTGAGCTTGGTGCCGCAGGTGCTCGAGGGCCAGGCTGGGCATTTGACCTCTGCTGCCAAGGGCTCCGGGCAGTCTGCACCACCATCCAGCCCCCCCCCCCGCATGGCCTGAGAGGAACAGTGAGGCTCCTCCAGTGGACCATGCCTTGGCACTTGCCCTGGTCCCACCCTCTTCTGCCAGAGACCCTCAGATCTGTCCCACTCCTACCCAGGCCCCCACAGGCACCCTTGACGTGAATGATATAGAGCTTGCCATGCCCACCCAATAGGCCACACCCACTCCATCTACGCCCACCCAGTAGGCTGCACCCATCCTGGTCACATACACCCAGCCCCCTGAGGGCAACTACAATGCTGATGTGGCCCTCAATGAAATTGAGTTTGACACCCCTGGGGTAGGATATAGGATAAATATATAGGAAGGATAATAGGATAAAATAGCCAAAATCAAGCTTAATTGTTATTAAAATATAAATCTTCCCCAAAACTAAACATCTGCAGCTGTTCAGATAGACTGCTGGCCCACGGGCCAGACGTATCACGAGGAAACCGCGCCGGCAATAGGGAAAAAGTTCCGATACATCACACGATGTCACGTGACATCACATGTCTGAGGTAGAGCATGGGTGTCAAACTCAATTGCGTCACATGATGTAATCGTGACGTATCCCAACGTTTTTTGCCTTTGTGGAGCCAGGGTGGGCCATGGTCTGTGTGTAACGCATCTAGCCCACAGGCCACCAGTTTGACAACCCAGAGGTAGAGGTTTTGCATGATTGATTTTTTTGTGAATTTCACCCTTTGATACGTTATTTTCTCTATCAATACATCTTTTCTCATTTAGTTATTTGCTATCACAGGAGGTTTCACCTGTACCTTGAGTAGTACAACCCCAAAAGACATTTACCATTTGATTAAGTTTGAAAATGAAATTGATAACATTTCCATCTTTTCATCTAATTCGTGTTCTACAGAAGTAATTGTAATTTAGGAAACCAGCCTGACATCTGATGTTGTGGTTTCATAATTCATTGGAAATCAAAGGCATATGTTTTGTACATGTCAAGGTAATAAACAGATTTATTTTGGAAAGTGGATTAAACCAAGCAGACATAGGTAAAAAGAAAGTTGTCCTTTTCAAGTTGGTTGAAAACCGTACATAGCCTGAAACTAGGTTATTTGAGGGACCACTTTTCCCTGATCTTATCCACTCATCCCACCAAGTTTCATAGAATGGGTATGTTAGGGGTTCCAACAAAAAGAGCTACATTTAGCAGCTCCTAAACAGGCTTTTTCTGCTGTAATACCTATATTGTGAAATCTTCTCCCCCAGAGATGAGGTTGGCCTCATTACTACTGAGCTTCTGAAAATTTGTCAAGATCTGGGCACTCCAGGGGACAATGGGACTTATGAGGTGGTTCCCTTATTATTAACATTCCTCCATCTAGTTATTCCTTTTTCCTGCTTTAGTTTTGCTTTGGATATTTTTATTCTTTTTAGTAATTATTATATAATGGTTTTAACTAACAGTCACCTTACTTATTTATTGTTTTTAGCGGCCTTTTGCATGTCCAGAATCACTTTTGTTACAAAGTTGATAAATAAATAAAGCAACCTAACTAGATTACTCTAGGGATTGAATTTTACA